CTGCATGATTAGTGTACCTGCCAAGGACCTCAAATACAAAATATTGTATCATAGATGATGGAAATACTTCCTCGATAAAAGCACCATAAGAGAAGAGAAGGTGGGTGGGACTTCTGGGCTCTAGCCACACCTCTGCAGTGTAACATTTTTATATGGGAGACTACAAAATCACATTAACAAGGCTCAGCAATTATTCTCTTCTTTGGGTTTCTCTTTCCCTTCTCTTCACTGCCCTAAAGCTAATAAGCCCTTTCATTTACAGGTATTTTTGCACTCTAAAATATAAGTTCAATGCCTTTGGAGATCAGTGTGCTGTGCAATGTTTTCTGTCTCCCTGCAATGCCAACTGTTCTTATGTGGTAAATGTAATTGAAAACATAGACTGGGTACTTTTCTTTTATAAACCTCTATCCTGGAGGTGTGTGAGATAACAAACACCTGTAAGACAGGTGTATAATCTGTGAGCGAGCTAGATTTGCATTGCATGGCCTGAGTACATGAAGAGCCAGTGTACCAACTGTTAGTGCTTTTGCTTTTACAGACTCATCTGGAAACAGTTATCTTGGATATTTTTTCTTGAATGGACTTTAATGTTTTCTATTGTAATCTTGTGAATATTTTAATACACTTTTTTTTTCCCATTACTGGTTTGCTGGATGAGTCTTACCTGGTTGGGGACTGGGAAGGGTGGGGGACTGGAATACACCACCTCTTTCCCTGGCAGTATTCTTCAGTCACTGTGCCCACTTGGTGACCAATACAGCTGGAGAACTCGCCACTTGAGACCCTGGGTTATTGCTTCAGCCACAAGGACCAAGACATACAAGTGGAAATGTGGCAGAACTGATTTCATGGTGGGACAGCCTTTGAGAAAGGGGAGCTGAAGATACATCGGAATCTGAGATTCATCAGAACCTACCTTGCCTCAGTTATCTTTTCCCCTGCATGTGAATTCCTGAATCTGAGTCCGGTGCTTCAACACCCCCATCTTCTTCCTGGAGTTGTGAAGGAAGCTAAAACACCAGTGGCACATTTGTTTCCTGTCCTTTTGTTCAGGACAGTGGTGGCTCGGGAACACATGAAGACACACATATTCCAGCTGAAGCTGGAACAAATATCCTGATGCTACTGGGGAAGGAAGAGCGTCAGGAAATGAAATGCAAATGCTACTGTTGGTTACTGAAATATGGCAGTTCTCCACCCAGGGGGTTTCCCGACTGCGACAGGAAATATTACTTCAGTCTGAGGCTCTGGCTGTCACCAATACTGTGTCACTCCCAGCACTTTTCACTGGAGTCAGATGAGGTGAGGCTCGGCAACTCTTTTTAGGCAAAATCCAGCCAGTTTCTTTAAAGAGACAGTACAAGATGAAAAATTCCACCTTCATTTTAAAAGGTTGACCTTTATTTAAATGTGTGGAGATACTTCATTATTTGCACTTAGAAAACATTTGCTCTCTAAACATGTAAATTTCCTCTTTTATTTTTTCAGAGGAAAAAAACATTAAAATTAGTGAAGCTGGGTCCCATGGGGATGGGTTTGTGCGTTGCTGTTTGATCTGTTGGGTTAGGCATCTCTTTACTGCAGTTGCTCTCGTGCTTTTAGCTCCTGATTATACCTATAGGAATAAAAAAGAAAGAGCACAGGTTAAGAATAGACTAGAACACCAGTTACAGTAACAGTTTTTTCCCAGCAATCTGTTCACCAGAGAAGGTTTAAAATTACAATGGACTTGGAGGGTGGAAACTCAGGATAGGATATTTTAATTCTTATAGGAAGTTCCAAAGTAGCTAAGTTTGCCATATTCCTGGCCAGTACTGAAGCCAGAAAAATCCCAAAGTTTCCTTAAAGAAATAATTTTTTAAAAAATGCTGCTCTGCTTAAAAATCTTTTAACCCAGCTGGAACTGACATGATTCAACACCGCTCGAGCTAGACTGAAAATATTTACAGCTTCACTCCAACCTAACTGTAAAACTAACAATGTAGCAAAAATGTTCTGTAATGTTTTATGAATGGTTCAGTTCCTCTTGCCTGTTGCAGTGACAGGCTGGCAGCATCTTTGAATTCCTGGTTAATGCTTAGCTGTAGTTGTACCCTTATTAACACATACCTCCATATTCGGAAAAGCTGGGAACCACCAGCACAGCCAACAAAGAAATTCACAGCAAACAGACTCCAGTTTTTGGGGATAATCACTAGAGAGTACCGTGACCAAATAAGGCCTGTTGAATAAAATGGAAAGTTTAAAGATATTTCAAATTAAATATTCAGAATTTCCCTAAGTTTGGAGGCAAATTCATGGGCCAGTTGAAATAAACAAATTTCACAGCTTCATGTTAGACAACGGTTTTGCTTAGCAAAAGTTGAGGACCTTTCTCAATGAAAAGTGCCAGTGGGACACCTACAAGTATGTACTGCATTCTTCTAAAATAGCAACAGAAAGGTCAATCATAGTCTGAAAATCAAACAGAGATCCTCTATAGTCTACAGCAGCCTAGACCTTGATTTTCCAGCACAGTAGTGGTATTTTGCTGTATATCTAGCTTGCTGCACTACATATGCAATTATGCAGAACTTATGCAAAATGCACAGGACTGTGTCAGATATCAAAATAAAGTCTGGAGAACCCTTTCAGACAGGAAGAACATTGGAAAAAGCTGCCCAGGGAAGTGGTGCAGTACCATCTGTGGAGGTGTTTATAAGATGTGTAGTTGTGTCACTCAGAGACACATTTTAGTGGGGACTTGGAAGTGCTGGGTTAATGGCTAGACTCTATGATCTTGAAAGTCTTTTCCAACCTAAATGATTCTAGGAGTACAGAATATTGTTTCTGCCAGTGTGAGAATTCTTGGCAGCCAGCAGTGCAGCAGTCCATGTGCCACTGCTTCCAATTACTTGTACCACTTGGAAATTCTTTCCAATTATGTTAGTGTAATTACCCTACTATTCTTAAACCCCGTAAAGTCTGTTCTAAAAAAGTCACTATATCCTGGACTGATTTCAAAATTACTTGATCTGAAGCAAAGAGGGAGACTTACTGCAGTGAATGGTATAATGGTAACTTAAGGGATGACACTCATGTCCTAAGTCATAGCAACTTGCACTGAACAGTGCCAAATTAAGACAGGTGTAGACAACTCTTACATAATTACAGAAAGCTTACTGATTTAATAACAAGTACAGGTCTGTCCTAGAATTATCCTCCAACAGCAACATTGACAGCTAGCATGTTAAAATTAAGGCTTTCTGTTGAAAGAGATTAGTACTGATGGAAGATTGTGAGATGGTGCTGTGCAAAAACACAAAGTGTGGCTTTACCTGTGGCCATTAGTACTGCAGACTGTGCTGTGCTGAGCTTTTCTGCTGGTCTGGCCATGTCAGCCAGTCCAGCACCCACCAAACCCTGCAAAGAGAAATTCAGTGAGCACCAGTCTGGGACTCCTGTAACAGATCAAGAGCTTTACAAGGGGAAGCTGCTTCACAGCTCAGTGCTTAGCCTACTGCATTATGCAGGAGATGGGATGCATTCTGTGAGCAATTAGACTCTCTGAGACACCATCCATTTCCAGTCCCTCGTGGGAGGAAAAAGAAGATGGTTATGGCAGCTACAACTGGGTGGCAATAAAATTCCAGGCATTGGCAGTTTTGTATTAATTCAAGAACAAGGTTAATTTAAACACAGATGCTTAAGAAAGCAGCTGAAAAAGACCTGCCCTGGTTTTCATGCAACAAGTAGAGGCTTATCTAAATAAGGACCTTCTTCCCACAGGTCAGGCTAAGATACTGCTGGTAAACATCACCCCATATAGTCTTCGCTCAGCTTCATCTGAGGGGGTAAAAGTGCTTTTTTAAAATATATTAGTGCTTCTTTTAAATATAATTTCAGTAATGGAAAACTTGCAGGCAAATTGAGGAATAGCTTGGCTGATCTACTTGCCATTGGAAGCAAACGTTGCTTGATTTGTTTGTTGTGTTATTGCCCTCTACTGGAAATATAATTTCATGTTCCTGTTAACACCAGTTCACAAAAAAAAAACCAAAACAAACAAAACAAAACCCTTAAGTAAGACAGTCCTAACACTTTTAATTCCCTGATTGCCATGCAGGACTCCTTGGGCACAGAAGAGCTGCCTCAAGCTCAGGAGGGTGTTTCCAGGGAGGTTAACCATGGTTCCTGCAGCTCCAGTCCTGACAACACACAGAAACCAAGCTGTAGCTTAGAGCACAATGTGGCCTATAAGAAGTTTGGGTTAACAGTAAGAAAGTTACAAAGCAGCTGGCAATGGTAAGCTGGCAAGGTTACATCCTTGCTTGCTATCGAACAAGATCAAACACTCATGGGTTTAGAGATCTCTTGTTTTATCTGTATCAATACACCTCGGAGCAGCACAGTGAATTAGGAGGTGGCATTTGCATCACCTGGGCACAAACACAGCCCAGGGCTGTAGTCAAGTGGGAAGCAGAACCTCACAGGAGGCAGAGCACCACTGACAGCCACACTGGCAACTTCCTTTGTCTTTTATATCAAGACTACCTTGCACTCTGACAGGCTTCAGCCTGCCTTCAAGCTTAGGAATTGGCTTCCTTAAGATATTTCTCCATTTCCTCAATCTCAGAAGAAACGCATGCTTTAGGAGTTTTGCATCATGCCAGCTCATTCCTACCTTGAGCAACATTTGGTGTTTCACAAGAGAAAGCCTTTGTGAAACTAAGTGAAAAGCACAATTCTTCCACAAAGCCTTTTCTCCACGCTGTATCCCCTTCATGTTGTGCTATCTGTTATTAAGGCTAATTTTGTTCCTCCCCATATATTAAGAATTAGAGCTTCTAATCTTTCTGCAGGCTCAAGTTTCTGCTGGGAAACTCTTGCTTGCTCAGTGTGTTAATGCAGATTGCCCTGGGCTTGACACCCAGACACCAGCTGGCATCTTCTACTTACCCATTTCATAATAGGTGCCCAGAAAAACACTGTTTTGGGACCTGAGGGAGGATGGGAGGAAAAGAAGTTAAATTATTTAGTAAGATGTGGCTGTTTTAATACCCACAGCATTTACCCACCGGAAGTTTAAGTGGTTTTATTTTTTTTTAATGAATTGTTTATATTAGAAGTTTCTACTGCTGTACAAGCTCTAGCATCTAATACTCATAATTCATCAACTCAGTGCATCAATCTTTAGTTGTGTAATCACTCCACACATTTCTGCAACAGCTGGATAGATTTTGTATGTCCATATTTAAGCAATTGAAGACACCAGACCGAGCAAAATGCATTTATAATTGAAAGAGTTAGGAAAAGGCTTAGGAATAGGGAAAACACCCCAAAAATCTACCAGTAGGCAAAGGAGGATTATGGGGGAAGAGAATGAACTCTAAAGAAGGGAGAAAAATCCAATGGCATGGGACCTGAGGTAAAACAAATCTTACAAATTTCTCTTACAAATACATTTGATTTTCAGTGGTGGTAAAACAGCAGCTGGCTGGTTAAAACAAAGCCCTGTAAAGCCACACCTACAACTATACCAGAAATCATTAATCTGGGACTTCTGCCCCAAGTCTTAAATGAGAGACCACAATCCAAAGTACCAACCCCCCTATGAAACAGTCAGGAGACTGTTGTAATTTTATAAAAAAACATTAATGTTTAGGTCACTGCTCAGCATTCTGGTAACATGCAAGATGAAGCCAAGTTTTCACTGTAATATATTACATAAAAGTAACCACCAGGACTTTGGTTGCCTGTTTTTTTATGGTATTTCTTCACTAACAATTCAGCCTTAAAAAGACCTTGCACTAACTACTTGTACTTCCAGTTTTAACCACCCTCAAGTTTAAAACTATGACGTGGGAAACAAAAACTGGCTTGGCAGCCTTGCATAAAGCTCTTTTTAACCCACCCTGCTTGTGATCCAGTTTCAAACTGCATTTAATAACCACACGCACATTACCTTTTGTCTAATATTGTTAAATATTAGATAACAGCAGCTTAATGTTCATCCTTTAAAGATACAAACTTCAGCTGCTGTTCTCTAAGGCACTTACTTGGTATGTCAGTATCAGGCTGCAAATACAGCTTGTTATGAATAAATCAGTCTTACAGAGTAACTACTTAGTCACTATTTAGTATTTAATTGCTAACAGTCATTCTAAAACACAAATTTAGATTTGGAGTACAAGAGGATGTGGGGTGAGTATAAATTATTAAACTGACCTTCCCTAAACAGCTAGTAGAGTTTTCAAGAAGACTGACATTAATTTTTATTAATAATAGAAAATCCAACTATTTCAAACTGCTGACTGCAGAACTAAGAAACAATTTGAGACAGGGAATGTACCAAGCCAAGTTTGAAATTAGGTAAGACTGTCAAACACCTCTCCTTGGAGACATTCCAGCCTGGATGGGTTCTTCCCAGCTCCTGACATCCAGAATTTTTCAAGGTTGAATATGACAGCAGCAAATGAGAGAGCAGGGGGACACCAGAGGCTAACCAGTGTTAGTGACTAGTTTATAGAATTGATGACTTCTATTAAATATAAGAAATTCTTTGTGCTGAGAACTTGAATAAAAAGTGAACCAGAGAGGCCAAAGGGGAGGGAGCACAAGCTCAGCCCATGCTGTCCCATGGCAGCCTGACGAGTTGGTATGCCAGGCCCTCCACTGTCCTCCAGCAATGCCAGCCAAAGAAACAGTTTCCAACAGGCATCAATTATTTTGCTGGAAGCTTTCTTTATGCCAGAAAGTGCTTCATGCCTCAAAAGTGATTTATAATTTCATGACAATGACGCTTATACTCCTGAATTAGACTACAGATTTAGATGGCACTGGAGATAAAAGAAAGCCTTTCATTTGTAACCCACTTTTTTTTTTCTGCAGTCAGAGTGACATCTATTGCATAACTTTCTCACAGACACACCTTCAAGGCTAAAACAGAAGTTGCAGGGGTTCAGTTTCTCTACTTGCTTGTGCTGTGGCTTTTATCACTTACACCATCAGTATAGATTATGACAGCAAGATATGTGTGTATTATATATAACATACATATATATATATACAAAAGCCCTAAAAATGGATTTATTAATTACAACATTATGGTGATGACCAAAAGCAGCCCACAGGCAGTTTTGTGAAGTGAAAAGCACTGTAAGAGGACCTCCAAAACCTTCTCCAGTTAGCACTACTGCTCTGTTGAAGAAGGAACGTGGATGTTCCCAGTTCTTGCTGTGTCTTGTATCCACTAAAAGCATCTGGAAGCTGCCACATTTCACACCGGTGGAATGTGTGTCTCAGTGTTGGACATACTGTCTCTTTATATATAAAAACAATATGTTAATGTTAACTATATTGGAGTGAATTGAGTACAAATCAAACATTTTGGGAGCTGCACTTTTCACTCTCTGTGATTACTTTAGAGCAACGATTTTCCTTCCATTGTAAGAGGACAGAGCAACTGACTGCAAACTAAAGTCCATTTTCACAGTGCATATTCCTGGTAGGTGAAGAGTCAAGGATGCCTGTGACACTGACACAAAACAGTGGGGACAGAGCCTATGGAATGCCAGGATTTTATCGGGCGCTCGTTTTAACAACCGACGCAATTTGTTTACAGGACAAACACCACGCAAATGGCACTGAATGAGATCATTTTACAAGAGGTTTCTCCCTAATAAAACAAACCCCCACGTTTGCCCATGGAAAGGTAAACTGTAGGTCAGCTGAGGGGAGCTCATTCTTTACCCACGGGAGTCCTCCAGCGCATTCACCAAGGGCACGAGTTGCCTTGGGTAGAAGCGTGGGATTCAGCAGAAAGAAAATAAAACCAAAGGCTGCCTGACTTCAAAGGGCACATTTCAAGATCGGAAACCCTGGCGGCGCTCTCCCCCGTCCCTGGAAGTGTCCATGGCTGGATGGGGCTGTGAGTAACCTGGTCTGGTGGAAGGTGTCCCCTCCCGTGGCAGCGGGTGGAACTGGATGATCTTTAACATCCCTTCCAACCCAAACCATTCCACGATTCTATGATTTGTTTCCAGCGCATCCTCTTGAAAGAAGCCGCTGCCGAGGCCTCCAGGCCCCTTTCGACCCAAGACATCCCCTGGGCCAGGTTCTGGCAGCCCACCTGATCCCTGGATACACCCCGCGGTACCGTGACAGCGACACCAGCGCATCCATCCCGGAACCACCCGTGCCGTGCCTGATTATCCTATTCTCCCTTCACAAACACAAGAAATTCTCCTTTACGCTGCAGGACTCCGCTCCAGGGCCGCTTTCCCGTGCCAGAACACCCGATCCCGCCCCCCACCATCCTTCGCATCCCCCGCTCCGCTCTCCCCGCCGGCCCAACCGGGGACCAAGGTGACCCCCGCTCATTACCCGCTGGGTGGTTGTAGAAGGGCCGGAACCGCGGTGGCAGCATGAGCTCGATGCGGTCGAGCATGCGGTGGTAAGAGGCGCGGAGCCCCGCGACGGTGGCCGCCATGGCGAGGGACGGGGCGAGCGGGGTCGGAGCGGGGACCGAGGGGCGAGCGGGGACTGAGCGGGGGCCGCGCTCCGTCCGTCCGTCCTTCCTCCGCCCAGGCCCCGCCCACCGGACCTGCCCACCCGACAGCCCGTGCTCTGATTGGTCATCGCCGCAGGGGGCGGGGCGGAGCGGAGAGCTGCGTGCGGCCCCATTGGCTGCGTGTGCCTGCCCCGCCCCCTGGGGAGAGCTGGCGCGCCCGCCGCCCCCGGGAAGGGCACGGGCGCCCGGCTCAGAGATGGCCGCCTCCGCTTCTTTCTCCTCCTCAGGATGGCCGCCGCGGGGGGACCCTGCGCTGCGATTAATGCGCCCAAAGCCAAGATGGCCGCCTTGCGGCTTCACACCGCTTCACTGGAGAGGGCCGGTTTGTAGCCGGCGGAGACGAGCGCGCTGACGTCACCCTCACGCCCACGACGCGCCCTTCCCTCAGTCGGGGCGGGGCGACGTCACCGGCTCCCGCGAGACTCCCGCTAGTCTCGGGCCCCCGCGCCCCCGCCCTCCCGGTGGGCGTGGCACCCGCGGCCGGGCTGGGCGTGGCCCCGCTCGCGGTGGGCGTGGCCCGGACCCGCCGCGCCTCCGGCTCGCGGGCCGTGCCC